ATGAATAACCAAAAGGCTCAGGATGTTGATATTTAGTCAGTAGCATGCTGGGATCAAGGACTACTATGTTTGTTAAAGTGAATGACTTTGACTTATATTCAAGGTCACAGGGGTCAAATTTGTTTAAAATCTTTAAACGACCTCTTCTGAATAACCATGGATCCCAGGATGTTGATACTTTGCAAGTTGCATCCTGAGATGAAAGGCTATACAATTTATTCAACATAATGACTTTGTTCGACTTTCAATCACAGGGGTGAAATGTTTTAAAAGAAATTAACAGGATCTTTTGAATGAATTTTAATCATAAATACTGATATTTTTCCTGTAGTTTTATTTTAGATCACTTTTAAGGTTACAAGTGTGAGATTAATACCAGGTGAGCGATGCAGGCCCATTGGGCCTCTTGTTCCATCATGATTTTAATATCAACTGTGTCTTTCGTGATCATTGGAGTGTTTTGTGTCAAATTGGTGATAATCTAGTTACATATTATTGATCCTGGTTTTGGAGAAGTTTCCCACTAGACCATCATTGGAGCACTGGACTATTAATATGTAGTTCAGGGTTCGATTCCTATGGGAGGCACACAGAAAAAGTGACTTGGGATACATCATACTTGCCAACTTTTTGAAATTTTTATGGAGGGAATTCTGCTTGCTCATAAACAAGATGTTTGTATATACCTGCTACAAAAAAAATAACCCTTTACCATGGCATATATTTTAAATTGGGTTTTTTTCAGTTGAAATCATTCAATCTTAGAAAAAAACACATATAGGAATAGCTAATCAAATTCACTGATTGAAAATATTTAATTCAAGGGTCAAATTTAGGAAAGAGTCTCCCTCCTAAATTGGGAGAGTTGGCAAATATGATTCATTTGTATTCTTGTATAGGATTTTCTTTCAGGAAGATATATTTATTATAATATTAACTTTCATACAAAGTTTTGTTTTCCATGTAACAAAATTTACAGAATTTTTAATGTAAAATTAAAAATGTTAATACTTCTTAAAGAATTATAAATACAAATGTATATTAGAATTTGTATTTCCAAATTTTACAGGATTTAGTTCAACTGCTTGAGACAGTTGGTTACAATAATATAAGGACATACTATATATGCTACCTTCCTGGTTATACCTGTTATTTGTGTAAGAGTTATGTCCCTTTCAAAGGTAATTCGTCAGTCTGGTGTACCATCAGATTTGTGATCAGTTAATTTACTGAACCCAAATTACCATTCATTGAAGATGATTTTAAATGTAGCACATATCCTTTAGTGATCTGTTCAAGTCAATACCACAAACTGCAATGGAGCTTTGACAATTCTAACTCCTTTATTCCTGTGAATTTCAAAAATTGGCTGGATTTCTGCATACATGGGACAATTTGTATAGTAGATGTCCACTCTCCTGTAAATACTTGCTGAATGGTGGGACAACCAGATTTGTGGTTCATGGATTCCTGGATCTCTAGAACAGTGTAACTTGTAACAAACAGAAGTCTTCTCATATCAGTGGCTTTAACCTTTCTGTGGAAGTTCTGTTTAAAATTAAAAAAACTTAACTATCATCAGCCAGATGTTAGAAGCAGAAAACATATCTGCATGTTACTCACTGGACTCCTTTATCAGCATTAGTAGTGAACTGTTTATATTTATGATAGCTGTGATAGTTTCTGGGTGGAAGTTCCCGTTTAATGAGAATCTTATCAGTGGCCTCTGTCTCCCCTACTATAAGTATGATAGTGACATCTGTCAGCCTCCTACGCTCAACATGTTTCCTAGATATACAAGGTTTACCATACTTAAAGCCATGCCGGCTAACAACATATTACTAATAGGATTTATTTACTGATACTTCAGGCGATCCAGGTGTTTGGTAGCACAATTTATTGGAATTAATTTTATAACCCTCTTAGACTTGAGACTGTAAGTCTTTTCAGTTTTGTGGGAGTTTTATTTTTGTGGACAGTTTGTGGGAGTTTTATTTTTGTGGACAGGTGTTTGTTTATAGAAAGCTAGCTTTGTCTCCTTACATCACCTAGGTACAGAGCCTGGAGCAGCACACTATGGTTTGGTAGAATTATTTTTAGACATTAAAGTTGCAGATTGATTATTTGTTAATATAACAGCAATGCCCATAAAAGGCAGTTTTCTTTCTGCTTTAATTGTTGACGAAATATTTTTCGCATTGCATCAAGCAATAATTTCTTACACAAACATACAATATTCAAAATCTGAATTAAAGGACATGTTTCTGATGTATTATTGGGTAATTAAATAACAAATTTGAATAAACCTGACTTAGAGACTATATGCCTATTGCAACCATCTTCATTTGATATTGTACTATCACTTTAATAAAGTCACAGTATATCATCATTTAACCCAATCACCCCCAAAGTCACATTTGAACCTTACCAAATCAAAGACTGGACAAGTCCAGTTTAAAAATGTAGGGGTGAATGAGTTAAAGGTCATTAAGAAGGTTGTTGTTTTCCTCCTCAGCTGTCCTTGTAGACAAGTTTAAAGATATACATTTATAAGTTGGTGTAAATGTACTGGTATATATTACATGATTCATATATGCTTCAAGAAGCTTCAAGTTTATCGCAAACTTTCTTTGAAGTAAAACTCTTCACTTCAAATTTAAAGATGGATGTTTAAAAAAGAAACCAAGACACTTTTAAGTTCCATGAGTCCTCTCTGGAATGAACTGTGTGAACCCCACAGATAAAAAAAACTCGAAACCACAAAGATGTACTTTAAAAGTGTCTTTAATATGTAGCCATGGTACATTCTGTAATGTTCTGTTGAACAATAATTGTATGGATGCCAGTCTGCTGTCGAAGCCAATAAGTTTAACACACAAAGTTCACATATTT